CCCCCCCCCCCCCCCCGCTGCTTCCCACCTCGGTCCGCGGGACGTCCGGAAGCGGCGGCCACTTCTCCAAAGCTAGCTCCACACTAGCTGGCAGGAGGCGGGGCAAGCTTTTATACCTCGCGGGGGCGTGGTCACCGGAGTGACTGGCCGTAAGGCCAATCAGGGTGAAGAGGGGCGGTCCCGGTGTTAGCCGCGCCCCTCCCAGGTGGGAGGATGTGTGTTAAGGGGGTGTGTGTGACGTTTTGAGCACTTGGGGACACGCCCTCTGCCGGTGGGGGGGGTGTAGGAGTGGGAGGGGGCACCCCACCATTTGAGGAACTTCAGACCCAGCTGTGGCCATGTAAGTCCTGGGAGCTCCACACTAGGTAACTGTGGTTCTAGATGGTCATGGAAGAGGCCAGTCACCAGGCCCAGCTCCAGTGCCAGGCCCTAACACCTGGATCAACCTTTTCCTGAAGCTGTCACCACATGGATTTCCCCTCCCCGGCCTCCTCCTCTTCCCCCACCCCCCAAAAAGATCTTCCTCTTTTTCATCTCTACAGCCAGGTCTTAATCTCCAGTAGCCCCGGGACTAAAGCAGGAGGTAAATATTTCTGCTGGAATGGAAGCAGTGTGTTCTGTTCTGTGGAATGAGGATTTGAAAATCAGACCCGGCAGGGTGTCACGCCAGCGCCCTGCAGGCCAAGGACCACGAGTTCCCAGCCTTCTCCAGCCACGGCAACAGGGGGAACTTGTCTCCTACCAAACACACAAACAATGCTTCCTTCATGAGTGGACTTTCTGCTACGCAGGCCTGGGCTGGAAGAATGTGGTGTTTTTGTGCCTAGCATGAGATACCCAGAGGACCTGAACCTCCAGCAAGCTCTCCTCTAGTGTGAGGCCTCTCCCTAGGCCTTGAGCTCTGGCGGCCACTTTCCCAACAAAGGCCCTGCTCACACCAGCCATGCGGGCCGCTGTAAGGGACAGCCCCCCCCCCCAACACTTGCAATGCACAGACCAGAGATTGGCTTTTTCTTTTCTTTTTTCTTTTTTTGCTAGTATCTGGACTTGAACTCAGGGCCTCTCACTTGCTCAAGGCTGGTGCTCTGCCACTGAAGCTACGCCTCCACTGCCGGCTTTGTGCTGGTAACTTGGAGATAAGAGCCTCTTGGATTTGTCTGCCTGGGCTGGCATTGAACTGTCATCTTCACATCTCAGCCTCCTGAGTAGCTGGGATTACAGGCCTGAGCCACTGGTGCCTGACTCCTTTTGTTTGTTTTTGTTTTGCTTTTGTTTGGTTTGCTTTGCTTTTAGAAACAGGGTCTCACTGTGTAGCCCTAGCTGCCCTGGAGCCTACAATCCTCTGGGCTCTTACTCCTACAGGCATGTGCCACCATGCCCAGCTGGGGACTACAAACTCCACCACTCCAGATCTTAGCCTACAGAGTAGCGAGGATTACAGGCGTGAGCCACTTGCTCCCAGCTGGAAAATGTCTATAGCTGCAGGTTCTTTCTTCTTCTTTTTCTTATTTATTTGTTTGTTTGTTTGTTGTTGGTCCTGAGGCTTGAACTCTGGGCCTGGTTGGTGAGCTCCTTTGGTGCCAAGCTAGCGGTCTACCACTTGAGCCACAGTGCTACTGCTGGCTTTTTCTGTGATTTAATTGGAGATAAGCATCTCTCGGACTTTCCCGTTTGGGCTTCCTCTGAACTCGATCCTCAGATCTCAACTTCCTGAGTAGCTAGGATGATAGGCCTGAGTTCCTGGTACCCGGCTGCAGGCAATGTCTTCTCTGACTCATCCATTCCACCCTATTTATTACCCCCTCTGACTAAATAGTCTTAGCGACAGCCATAAATAAGATAATCGGGTAGATTTTATCAGAGTTGGAAAGTCAAGCAAGCAGGGATCATAAATGTGGGGGTTGCTGTGTGGAATGGGGGTGACTGGGGGGAGGTTTTTCTGAGTGACATCTGCAGGAAAGGTAGGAACCATTTACAAATCCGGAGAAGAAAAGTGATCCAGGCGGCAGAGGGCTCAGCACGTGCAAAGGCCCTGGGGCAGGCATGAGCCTGTGTGTTGCTGGGACAGTGTGGTGGCTGGGGAATGGGGTGAGGATGGGGGGATTGGGAGGGTGTCATGCGGCTGAGACAGAGGAAATGATAGCCAAGATCACACAGCTCAAAGTTCAGGGGGAGCCTTTACCACAAGTGGCCATCAAAAATCACAAAGTCCACCCAAGGTTGGTGGCGGCTCACGCCTGTCATCTTAGCTACTCAGGGAGGCTGAGATCTGAGGATGGAGGTTCAAAGCCAGCCTGGGCAGGAAAAGTCCAGAGGACTCTTACTAAACTCCCTCCAATTGACCAGGAAAAGGCTGAATGTGGAGCTATGGGTCCAAGAGGCCACTAGATGGCGCCTGGGACCCAGATTGCTCCATACCTGGCCCAGGTGTTTCTTCTCTGCCCTTTGACCCCTTCACTCAGTCCGCCTGTCCATTAACCACGCCTTTCTCTTTATCTGTGAGCTCCACCAGAGAGCCATAAACAATTATGAAGTACTTGCTGTATAACATACCCGTGCTGGACAGGCCTGGGACTCCGGCAAAACACTGGCCTTAGCCATACACGCACCCTGTAATCCTAGCTACTCAGGAGGCTGAAATCTGAGGACTGTGGTTCAAAGCCAGCCTGGGCAGAAGAGTCCCCGAGAAACTCTTTTTTTTTTTTTTTTTTGTCGGTCATGGGGCCTGAACTTTGGGCTGGGCGCTGTCCCTCAGCTCTTCAGCTCAAGGCTAGCGCTCTACCACTTGAGCCACAGTGCCACTTCCAGCGTTTTCTGTTTGTGTGGTGCTGAGGAATCAAACCCATAGCCTCATGCATGCTAAGCAAGTGCTAAGCAAGCACTCTACCACTGAGCCACCTTCCCAGCCTGCCCAAGTCATGAGATTCTTATCTCCAATATCTCCAATGAACCACCAGAAAACTGGAAGTGGCACTGTGGCTCAAAGTGGTAGAGCGCTCACCTTGAACAAAAGAACCAGGGACAGCACCCAGGCCCTTAGTTCAAGCCCCATGACCAACAACAACAACTCTGGTTCAGAGCACCCAGATCCAGTGGGAAGACACTCGTGAAGATTAGTGGAGACACTTCAGTAATTTGCGGGGGGGGGGGATGGGGGTAGTCATTCTCTCTCAGAAATAAGAGAAAGTTTTTGAAGCGGGGCAATGGTGGCTCATGCCTATAATCCCAGTTACTCAGGAGGCTGAGATCTGAGGATCACAATTTGAAGGCAGCTGGGTTGGGAGAGTCTGTGAGAGTCATCTTCAAGGACCACCAAAAAGCTGGACATGGAGCTGTGGCTCAAATGGTCGAGCACCAGCCTTGGGGAACACAGTGGTGGCTGGAGGCCATGAGGAGAAGGCCTTCCAGCCCAGTGAAGTTCATTCTTTTTTTTTTTTTTTT